ACCTGCTGGTGTCACAGGAGTGGACTCCTCGATGGCAGCACTGCTCCCACCCTGCTTGGCAGGGAGCAGCCTGTTTCTCTGAACCCTTTTTCATCTCTCCCTGGACTGTAGATTCCTTCCCTGCTTCATTTCATCTCACATTCCCATGCAGAACAGGCTTTGCTGTCAGCACATGGATATCCTTGTGATATCACTGGCACAGAAGGCTCTTAGAGTGCCCTTTTTTTGGGAGGCTGAATGCCACCATGCCACCCCTTTGCCTGATCTGACCGAGGAGGGCGCAGCAGGTCAGATAGATCCACACAGAAATCATTCACAGTGGTTTTTATCCCCTATTGCTGAGCTTTGGGGAACAAAAGGTGTAATTGCTGCATGAATTAATATTTCTCAGGGAAAAAAAATGAGGAAAGGGAGAGCATGTTTTGTTAACAGAGCAGTCCAGGCTTCAGAGGGCAGTTGTGGGTAACCCTGTGTCAGGCCTCTCTTCCCATCATTGCAAGTAGGAATTCTCATGGCATTGCCAGAGTCAACTAACAACCATCCAGGAAAGGAAAGATCCATTGCCCCGTGTTTGCCCTAGCCTTGTCTTCCCTTGTTTGAAAAGCAAACAGGTGGCCAGTGGGAATGCTGAGGACAAGAGCAAGAGGATCCATATCTATTCCTTTCCTCTGCCACAGTGCAGCACTAATTCTTCTCTCTCAAACTACCCACAGCAGCAGCCCAGAGGGTCTCTGCAGAGAAGGGGGAAGAGAGTTCCCCTACTCGTGGCACATCACAAGTTTCCTTCCAAGTTTGGAAACAAGAAATTCTGTAGTGGGAGTAGAAGAACCCTCAGGGCACTTCTGTTTGTGAGCAAGTGCAGCGCTCGTCCCTGCAGAGCATCCTTTGCAGGAGCAGCTGAGACCGATGGCAGCCAAACAGCAACTGCTCTGCTGTCACTTGTCCAGGTGGGCCGGGAGCGAGACGGGGGCTCAGGCTCGCGGTCAGGAAGTGGCACAAGCCATCCGTGCTGGTCCCACAGCTCCCTGCATTCCCGCACGTCCGGGGGACCCCGCGGGGAGCTTGGCAGAGCTCATCGCACAGCTGCTGCTCAAGGAGCACCGTGACCTTGCAGGGCTGGGGGCTGAGCCTGCGGGAGGACGGGGGTGGGCACACGGCAGTGGCACAGTCAAGGCAGGAGGGTGTTCGAGGCAGAGGGTGCCAGGAGGGGTCTGAGCCGGCCGGGCCGGGCAGCGCCGCAGGCAGCGCTGCGGGTCCCGCTCCCGCAGCCGGCGGACACCGCCATCTCCCGGCGGCTCCCTGAGCCAGGAGTTCCAGAAGGGCTTTTCCTCCAGGTCCTGGCACAGCACAGACTCCTGTCAGCTTTTATCTGGATAGAAATGCCAGTGGTTCTCCCACAGCGGGAGAAAAGAATTCCTTTGTGTGCTCTGTCCGTCCTGCTGGGGAGTCACGTCCCAGGATCAATGGAAAGGGGGCATGGCCCTGGAGCCCTCTGAGACGCTGAAATAAGGACTTACCAGTTTTTCTTTGGAGAGTGGAAGAAGCTATTGAGAAGTTGGAACAATCTTCTCTTGAAGGAGAAAAAAGAAAGGAATTGAAAGATCTCAGAGATGTGCTGGAGGGAGTCTATGGGGGCTGCCATGTCCTGGCCTTGCAGGCTTTGACTGGAATAAAAGCAAGTCTTTTCTTTGCAGTGAAATGAGTCAGCATCACTGGGAAGAGGCTGGGATACAAATCACTTATGAGGGGATTTGTCAGGATGGTCCCATGTGTGCTGTTTGTCCCTGGGTTCAGTGTGTCACAGCCCCCTGGCTGGGAAAGGAATGGTGCTGATGGGGCATCTTGGAGTGCCAGACTCTACCCTGGAGACTTGTGGGAGCTTCCCCTGTATCTCCAGGAAACTGTAGAGCAACAAGTTTTCCCTTCCTATCTCAGACTTGGTAGAGGTTAAACTGAGGGATCTACCAAATGTCCAAAGTAGGGAAAAGTTCTTTGTTCCTGCTGCTGTCCTGGAGAATCTTTGCCCTTAGAGGGACACGAGTCCTGCTGACATTGTAGGGCTGAAAGGCATTTGAGCACCACCAGCTCAAGCAGTTATTAGACTTGAGCACAGGCTTCACACACTGAAATGGTGCATCAGGAGCCTCTGCAGCAGCTCAGCTTTGTCTTGTGTCTCCTTTGAGTAATGTCACTGTTTCAGGGCACACTGAAGAAAATCTAATTGTGAATCGAATTGTGTCTCTGACCACCTTTGTAAACTGTTACTTTGGCCTCTTCTGTCACACTTTAATACAATTTGTGAAGTGTGGAGCATAATCACAGCAGCTTCCAAGCCCCAGGAAATCCCAAAGCAGCTCCTTTGAGAGCTACAGGCTCTAAATGGGACCATCAGTAGCTCTGAGCTCATCAGTGAAGACAATTTAGCCATAGTAAAAAAAATAGCAATCAACTTTCGAGTTCAAGGGGATCTTTAAAACAGAAAAAAAAAAAGCTTCCAAACCAGCAGAATCTTCATACATTTTACCTTTGTCTGCTTCATTACAAACATCTGAGCAATGTATTCTGGAACTCTGTTAAAGTGTAACTGCCTGCCTGAGTTAATATTTGATACTGCCATTCCAGAGACATGTAAATATTTATTCTGTAGGTAAGAATTGGAGCAGAAAGGTGAAATTTCATTTTGGTAGCTGAACCAGAGACTGCTGTTTTAAAATTTCCATTATGTGATATAGTGCCAGCATTCAGAGAATCATCATTATGTAGAAATAATTTAATTATAAGCAAAAGAAACCTTCAGTTTTTGTGGTAGTCAAAGCTAGTTTTACTTTCAACAGACTGTACAAAACAAGAACCAGTACAAATAGTCATATACTGAATAAGAACTGGTACAAATGGTCATAAACATGCACTGGGCACAAAGAGATCCTGAAGCATCAGGAAAAGTTGCTCCCCTTTTGCAACAGGATCCCGAATCCAGCAGCACCTGGGAGCCTGCAAAGACCTGCTGAGCCTGGAGAGAAGGGCACCTTACAGTACTGTTGTTTTGAAATAATTCCCCTTTCCTCTGTGCAGGGTGCCGTGTGCTCGTGCTCGAGTCAGTGAACCTCTTGAGGAAGTACATTTCCTTCCTGGATGTGCCCATTTCCTGCCTCCTGCCCGGGGATGCCCTGTTCATCCTCTCAGAGGAGGAGACTGAGCAAGCCAAGGTGAGACATGTGGCACCTGCTTAACCTGCTTGAATGGCTCGTCATCACTGTGAAGACTTTAGTCAGAAGTGTCACATTCACGGGGAATTTCATAAGTGGGTTATAAATGTCACTAAGGAACGTCTGCAGTGACTTGTAAAACATGAACGGACAAGACAGGTGACCTCGTGTGCTGTGACAGGACGGGGCTGAGCCGATTTGCAGCTCAGAGGTGTCCAGTAGTCACAGAACACTGAGTTTTACACTGCATCCAGGATGCAGGATACATTTCAGAGGAGACTGGATCCAACTTAATATTCCCAATATATGAGTGGCCTGTCAAAGATTGGCATGACTCCATGTCAGGAACAGCATCCTTGGACCACAGCTCTAACTAAAGACAGAAACAGCCTGTCAACTTGTGGTCCAAAGAGTTCCCTTCTTTGCTATGCATTTTTTATTTTGCTGCATGAGATCTCACACATTTGTCCACAGTTCCCTGTATCAGAATCTGATTAGCTCCCCTTCCATAGCATGAAAATGTTTGCCCAGAAAACAGCGCTGTTAATTCACAAATTGCAGAACTTTCCTGCTTTTGAGGCTGCTAAAAGGGAGAGTTACACATGGAAACTGCTCAGATAGAGGTGGTGTTCGTTATTTCCATGTGTTTTTTGTTTCTGAAGCCTGACCTTTCTCTGCTGATGCACTGTAAATATTCAGTTTCAGCTGACAGTGTGTGGTCGGAAGCAAATGCAGGGATGTTCCCAGATACTCACCTATCAGGTTCCTGCTTCCCCAGCATGTGAACACTCAGACATGAGATCACGTGGGGAGGAGGAGTTATAAGTGATAAATACACTGTCTCAGCACCAATCTGCAGCTGATAATGTCCTTTCTAGCAGGACCCTCTGAACATCAGCCAGCACAACACCAGAAACACAGGGGCAGAGAGGCCCCATGGATTAGGCAGCCTCCCACTGCTCACTGAAAACAGGCTGTCCTATAAATTGGCAGTGATCCTCACAGGAGGCCTAGGAAACTGCCCTCACACGAGGCCTGGAAGGTTCTTGTAATGCTCTCTCCACTCTTTTTCCTTCTAGAGGGCCATGCGGTGCCATCGCAGCCAACTCCTCTGGTTCCGTCGCCTCTACGTGCTCTTCTCACGGTACATGGTGGTCAATTCACTGCGCCTCCTGTAGCAGGATGTGGCTCACAGCTCCAGGAGAAAAGAATGACCAAAAAAAAAAGGACCATGCCAGGCTCAGGACTAAAGGAAACTCCTGTGTTATGTGCTGGAGAGGACGGGATGCTCTTTGTGTAGCATTCTCCAGGCTACAGAAACCAGGCATGTGAACTTCCTTCTGAGTATGCTGTTGCCCGATACCTTGAGATGAACAGGATTTAACAGCTACTCTGTCTTCTCACTTTAGAAGCTTAACTGGGATGAGAAATTTGGATTAACTTAATTAGGAGTTGAATGCAGGAGTATTCTGCGTTGGAGAAGATATGGCACAAACTATTTCCCCAAAAAGATACAGCTGCAAGGACTGCTTGGCAACTATCTCTTGGTGCTTTTATAAAATCGAGATATCAGGAGGAACTTTTCAAAGAACACGCTATCTCCACAGATACCAGATCTACAAAGACCTTTCTTATTCAGTCAGAACTTTAAAAAGCCAAAGCTTTTGAATAAAACATCAGAAATAATACAAATTTCTCTAATTGCACTGATCTTTGCTGCTGCTGCTTCTTTCATACGTATTGTGTTGCAGGCTCCACCTTCTCAGAGTGTCCCTGATGAAACATGAGCATTTTTTCTTGCTTCAGAACACGGGGCTCAAGATCAACTCACAAGAGTCTCAGCAGGACGTAGGAATGAGGTGCAAGAGACCCAGACTGTAATAGGTCTTTTATACGGTGACTTAAACTTTAGCACAGCTAGAGGCAAAGTGCCAAACTAGCAACCCTGGAGTGGTTTACAGAGCAGAGGCAGTTTGTCAACTGAAAGTCACAAAGGAATGAGACAATCAACATAGAAAGATTTATTTAAGAAACAGAGAACAGAGAACAGTAGTGTAGAAATTCATTTCACCATCCATCACCCAGGAAATCCCAGACTGCAGTTCCACAGCAGTGCTCCAAGTTCAGTTGCTGGAAGGCTGTGTCAAGGTTTTGACATGTCTCTGATGGTCTTATGCTCCCCCACTGCTTTCTCCCATTCCTTGCCATTGATATCCTCTGTGACAATGGTCTGCACGGTGCCATCATCCAGGCAATGGGGAGCTATCCCTGAGGAAAGACAGAGCACATAGAAACCTGCTTCTCAGGAAATGAGGGAGATGCCTGCACCACTCCGTGGATGGGGCATCTCAGGGAATATAAATGCTACTGCTGTAAGGCTGAGGAGCCTGGATGAGAATCCTGTCCCAGGCACAAGCCCACACATCACAGGTAAGACTTTCTTATGGAGGAGCTACAGGTTCAGGCTGCAGTTCCAGATGTTTAACACTTTAGGGACAAACTCTTAAGACACATGCTGCTCCCTGCTGTCATGTTGGCACCAATGGAGGCTTTACCCAAGGGGTGCTTGGTGGTTCAGTTTGGTTACCACAGCTTCTTCTTTGTACCTACCATAACCATCTGGGTTGGAACGAGGAGTATAAAAGCTCTGGACACCACAGGTCTTGCAGAACGTGTGCTGGGCACGGTGTGTGTTGAAGGTGTATGTTGTCAAATTATCAGCACCCTAAGCCAATGAAAAGCAGTTTTCTATATAAATAAGTTTCCCATATAAATACATGGATAAATTACTTTAGGCCTATAGCTAAGAAATGTAAAATTTAAAATACCACCTTCCTATCTTGATACACAGAGTTCTGCATTCATGCTCCTTTTCTGAGCCCCTGTGCTCTGTATGTAAACAGTCAAACCTCAGAACTGCAAGAGCTCCAACATCACCTCACCAAATAAGATGCACTAACACACCCACCCCAGACAGGACAAAATTCAGCCATTTCCCCCCAACAGCCACACAGGAACTTAAGGTAGAAAACTGGGTATTGCTTGGATCCAGGCTAACACTGGGTTATACTGCTCAAGCTCATGGCCACGCTCTTACTGTGTTTTACTCTTACCTGCAGCAGCTTGAAACGCGACGCTGGGACAATGAAGTGTCTGTTCTGTTTCTTTGTGCAAATGCTGCAACTGTGAAAGAAAAAGCAGACCTTTCTGGAAGCAGTGGACAAGTTGTAGTGCAGCAGTCAGATCTAGCAGGGACCTCTTGACAACAGAAACTCCACTGACAGTTAGAATGGCTCCTGGGTGGCTTCACAAAGGTAAGTGGTGAAAGTGGCCTCGTGGTGTCAGTAGTGTTTGGCTGAGCACACCCATGGAACAGACTGACCCTACACAGGTACCCCCTTAAGGTGTCTTCCTACACCAAACATTATATTCTTCACATACACAGCTCTTTAAGGACACACTCTAACCCTGAAAAATCTTTCAGACCATGCTTGGCCAAGTTTGCCAACATTAATTACTTTGCAAACAAGAAAGCAAAGTTCAGAAGTTCACCCACGAGCAAACTGCTTGCAGGCAAAGGGAGATCACTAATGAAATCAGAGTGTGTTTTAGTTTGAGGCACATGTGGTCAGAGATGTAATGTCACTTGAGAAGACCAAGTTAAAAAAGGATCAATGTGCTCTGAGCCCACCGACTGAGAGGAAATATAAAGCAGATGGCTGAGCACCTGCACTCACTAGATCTCTCCTGACACTTTCAGCATGAGCATGGCTGTGAGACCTGAAGTCCTGCCCAGAGAAGCAGCACCTGAAATCCCTGGTGTTGATCTCACATTGGATCAGGACGTAATTAAGGGTAAACCCGATGGAAACAGCTCAGAGGGTGTTCTGCAGCTGTCTCATCTTTTAGCTCTGAGGCTGCAAAAGCAGACAAGCTGATATTCATGTATGAGAACAGGGAACAAAACAACTCACTTGCAGTTGAACACGTGCAGATGTGGTGAAGCCCAGACCTCAAAGCGGACGGCTCCACAGTGACAGCCTCCTGTGTGCTTGACCAAACCTCTGTGTTCACTGGAGAGAGAAACAACAGAGCTCTTGTGATCGTACTCTCTTTTTTTGGCCAAGAGAGCAGTAAGGCTATACACAACATTATTCAGGTCTGCCTTGAGCAACTGCAGAACACCAGGAAATGTATCCATTCGAATGTATTTTAATACCATGTGTCAGAGTGAGGTAGGGAATGGCTTTTGTCCTGAGCAATTGCTTTTGTGGTTTAATTAAAATGCTGAAAAGGAAAGAAGAACAGCAGTTCGAGGACTCTCTACTCTGTACAAGAGAGCTCCCCACCGCAGTCCGGGTCACAGTGTCACCCAGGCTGCAGCTGTGTCCTGCACAACCCTACAGAAACCAGGGTTATTACCACAGGACAACCCACTTGGAACTGAGAACCGAAATTTCCCACAATTTTCCCCACAACTCCTCCAGCACCACTAATATTGCTCCATTTAAAAGCTAGAAAAAGCAGAGATAGCTGGATTTTACATAATATTTGAAACGTGTTTTATTTCAGATTGTAATTGCGGGGGAACTTTATGATCAGGGAATTTCTCAGCCTGTGCCTCTCCCTCTCTCTGAGTTGCCTCCTCAGCAGCTGGGCAGACTCACCGTGCCGGGTCAATCGCAAAACGCAAAGGAAAAACATTTTCCTTTCAGATTTTCCCTGCCACGGACACTTACTGATTACAGCGCGGCGATGATGTGCAGCGCTCTGCAAAGAGCGAGCACAGGAAATTGGGTGGAGATTTAGAGGCTGAGCCTCGCGGTGCCCCCCCCAAGGGCATTTTTGCCCAGAGCGCCGTAAAACAGGGGAAGCTTTAGCAGAAAAAGCAACTTTCTCCGTGGTGCCCGCGCCCCCTCCCCGCCCCCCGGATCCCCCCGCCGCCCTTCGCGGCACCTCCCGAAGCCCGCGCACCGCTGTGCAGGTGCGGCCGGGAGAACGATGCTCCCACGGGCCGGGGCCGGACCGCGGCCCCGCTACTCACTACGCGTCCAGCAGCAGCCGCGCCGCCTCCTCGCAGCTCAGCCCGTGCCGCTTCTGGAAGGCGGCCCAGCGGCCGCTCTGCGCCCCCAGATCGAAGGGGCCGGGGGACCAGGGGGGCTCAGCCTTCACCCTGGGCGAGGATCCCCCCGCGCTCCTGCCCCGCGCCCGGCGGGTCCCGCCCGCGGCCGCGCCGCCCTGACGGCAGTGCCGACCCATCCGCCAGGGGGCGCCCCCGCGCCGCGCCGCCAACGGTGCCGGGAGAGCTCGCCAAGAGCGCGCGGACACGGCGGGAATGGGGACGGGAAGGGGAACGGGAACGGGAACGGGAACGGGAAGGGGGCGCGGAAGGGGCTGGGACACGGCGGGACAGGGGGGCGGAGCTGGGTCGCCAAGGGGCGGTGTGTGCCCAGGAGGCCAACGGGGCCAAAGGCGTCCTGGCTTGTATCGGCAATAGTGTGGCCAGCAAGAGCATAGTAGTGATTGACTCCCCTGTACTCGGCACTGGTGAGGCCGCACCTCGAATCCTGGGTTCGGTTTTGGGGCCCTGACGACAAGAAGGACCATTGAGGGGCTGGAGTGTGTCCAGGGAGCTGGGGAAGGGGCTGCAGCACGAGTGTGATGAGGAGCGGCTGGGGGGGCTCAGCCTGCAGGAAAGGAGGCTCCGCGGGGTCCTGATTGCTCTCTACAGCTCTCTGAAAGGAGGGTGGAGCAGGGGGGGACAGTCGGGCTGTGCTCCCAGGGAACAAGAAAGGATGAGAGGAAAGGGTCTGAAGTTGCACCAGAGGAGGTTTAAGTTGGATGTTAGGAAAGCAATTGTTAACTGAAAGGGTGTTCAGGCGCTGGAACAGGCTGCCCAAGGAAGCGGCTGAGTCACCATCCCTGGAAATGTTCAAGAAATGACTGGATGTGGCACTTGGGGACATAGTTCAGTGGCAGACTTGGCAGTGCTGGGGGACTGGTTGGACTTGATGATCTTAAAGGTTTTTTCCAACCTTAGCAATTCTATGATTCCATGATTCCAGGGTCTCAGGCACAGCAGGGCCGGGGGCAGGTGGGCACTGTGAGCGAGCAAAGCTGGAAGTCACAGGAAGTTCAAGGCCTGAGTTGTTCATGGTGTCCCGAGGGACAGAGGGCTCACTTCTCCCATCTCAGTCCCTGCTTAGGCCAGGCATGACAGTTATCCACAAGCATGAGCCCGAGGTTTTCCCTCTCATTCTGAACATATGATGCCTCACCTATTCAAGGATGTAAAGGTGCTCTGCAGACCTGAGGGGCTGCTGTTGTTTCGCATCTCTGCTATGCACAACCCTCATTTAGACACAAGATCACTGTGTGACAACAGGCCTGGGATCAGGATGCGCCTTTGGAAGAGTGTTTAGTCCTTCCTGAGGTTTGAAGTCATCGTGGCAGCCTTGTAGAGAAATGGCTGCTAACAGGATTCCCGCTGGACAGCTTTTAACAAATTCAGTAACCAAAGCCTTAAAAAGGAAAACAATCAAGAAAGTACATACCTTGAAAAACAAAAAACAACCAAACCAAAACCAACCAAGAAACAAATAATCAAAAGCCCAAATCAAACCAACAAAGAAAAAAACTTAGGAAAATGTGAAATCATTCCACTACTGGTAAATATCTCACAAAAAGCTATTCCTGAACATCTGAAAGCCAATGCTGTTTTTCAAGTAAAGCTATTCAATGCAGGGAAAAGTCCAAATTTTGGAGGTGTCCAAGTCCCATTTGGTTGGGGGAAAAAAAAATCACTCCAAGGATGAACTTTGTGTCCAGTGTTGCAGGAGTGGACGTTTATTTTGTTTGACTTCTAATCAAGGAGTTGTATTCAACAGGACTTAATGTCTTGCCCTTTCCAAGAAGGGGAACGGGGAAAGATGTAAACAACTGAGCTGACGGTTTGTGGAGAGGCAGAAGGTCAGGTCTCAGCCAGGAATATGTCAAAGCAACAGGACAGTGATGAATGAAACATCTATCAGCACTCTGGTCTGGAAAAGAGCTTTAAAAACATGCTACCACAGTATGCAGGCTGCCTCCTGAGATGGCACATGCCAGGATTTGCATAACAATCCTGTGGCTCAGCACTTCTCCGATGATAGGAAAGGGCACCGAGTTGCAATTTCCTGTTATCCCTCTGAACCTCTGCACTGGTTACTCATTACTAATGGAACCATTTTAATACACCCTGTGTGACAAATTCTGACCCCTGCCAACGTGTTCATTTGCAGCTCCTGATCTGAGCCACTCCCAGACCTTTAGTCACACTAGATTTTGTGTTAGTCACCTTATATTTTGGGAGGAAAAAGTTGCTGAGGTGAAACTGGAAACGCACTGAAACTGAGCCTGTGCAGGTTGCAGCGGGGGTTCAGTTCCCTTTGGCACAGAGACAGCCAGCAGCAGGCACAGGTTTCAGCCTTCATGGTCTGTCCTGTCCTAAAAACACTGAACTGCTCTACACTGAAATCCAGAATGTATTGTAGGAGCTTGTTAGTGATCAGTTCACAGAAATGACCTTCTCTCTTTAAGACAGGAGCCACTTGCACTTGTACATGTTCAAAAAGCAGTTCCATGGAGAAAACTCTACACTGAGTTTGCAGTCCTTGTAATATCTGCAAATCTGTCACTCTCTGTGCCCCTCGACAATTAATTCAGCTTATTTTAAATGTAGAAAGTGTTTTGAGAAGCTAAATTCTGTTCCTCTGTGATGCTTTAGGATAAAGAACTGGAAGACAAAAATGGAAGAACAAAATGCAGCTTGGTTTCCTAAGGCCACAGTAATTCTTCCTTCTTTTTCATTTGTTCCTTATTTTATTACAGAGGATTCTCAGAGCTCAAAATTGGCTCTCACATAAACAATCAGTTCAAGAGCTTTACAGTAGACCTCTGGATGATGACAAATTTCACAGGTATTCTGACTTGAAAGCCCTGAATTTCAATGATCACATAGGGAGGGTATGGTCAGTGTACCTGGGCAGCAGGTGCTTCCTACTGTCCAGAGAGTTAACAGCTTTCATTTCATTATTCCAAAGCTGATGCAATGTTTGCCAGACTTTAGTAGAGGCCAATAGCTTGATGAAAAATGTATTTGCTCTTAAACTTGTGAAGCAAAATGGAGAAGGAAGAATTATCCAGACAGATGATGAGATATACAAGAGGAAAAGTCCAGTAAATGACAGTTGGTTCTCTGTGTACGTGGCTTGTGATACTCAAAGTCCAACAGTTGACGTGTTCCAGTGTTAAAGTACAAAGGGGTTTTTCTGTGCCATCTCAGCTCTGCTTGTATAACAATGACTCAGCTCTGCAGCTCTGGCTCACAGCCCACATTGAAATTCTGTCTGTAGGAGCATTTTCATCCCCAAAGCAACACTGAAAGCAACTACATGTTTGTGGGTGAAAGGGAATTAGGAAGTGTGATGTTTTTTATCTAATAAGCAGGGGACTAGGAGTTGTGTATAGCTGACACCACACAGAAAAGAACAGGTTGTTAAAACTACGTGGTTTGTTCAGAGGAGAAAAATGTCAGTGCTTGGATTTTAGTTTTCTGGTAGAAGGGGAAGCATTCTGGACATTCTCCTCACCATCAAGGGATCCAAGCTGGATCTGAAAACACAGTGCAGGAGGTATCACCCCTGGGCCAATGGATAAAGCCTGGTCAGAACAGCCTTGGCAGTGTTTGGTTTTGTCCACTGTCACAGGGGTTCTATTGAACATATCAACAATGATTAACAGCATTTTAGGACTTACTTCTGTCTGTCTGTCTGTTTTTCAAGGTGCTTCTTTGCTATCCTGCTGAAATTCCTCACCCCAGAAACCACAAGCTCAAAGGGCTCCGAGGCAGCAGAGAGGACGTGAACAAAGAGCTCCCTCCCTGCACTGCAGCTTGGATCGGATCCAAAACACTCACGGGCAGGAGGCAGACTGGAGACATGCAGACAAGTAATTTTTAGAAGAGACCTAGTTATTAGCTGTTGCTTTCACTGGCACAACATGCAGACACAAGCCTGTGATTTTAGCCCAATGGTGGCTTCATAAAATGCCTTCTCTAAGTCTCCTTCCATCAGAGCAGAGTGAACTGGCACATGTTCCTCTGGGTCATTCAGACCTGCAGAGAGAGACGTGCCCAAGCCTGTTTATCAGGGCAGCACAGATCTTACAGCTGAATCCCACGTGTCCTGCAAAGTTAAAATATTCTTTAAACAAACAGGGAGACAGAGGAGTATCCCTCATTTTCCTCTTTTTACTACCAAGCTATTTGTTTTTCTTAAGCTTTCAGTTCCTGAAGTTGGAAGCTTATTAAAAACTTTGTTTATTGAAGGTTTTTTTAGCACAAGGCTTTACAAACAAAACTCAGAGAGTTGTCTTTTTTTGGTAATCTCAATATTACAGTCAATCTCACAGTACTCAGAATTATGACTCACTATTTTTGTAACCCTTGAACTTGGCAGCACAGGGACAAGCAGTAACATGCCACGAGTCTGTTTGTCTCGTGGGTGGAACTTCAGCAAAGTCTGGGTCTTATTGCAGTGTTACAGGCTTGGGGAGAATATATTTATCTCCACAACCATAAATAAGTAAATATAATTATCCAGTGTTATACACAGTGAGAGAGATCTGAGGTAGGTGTGAGTAATGTTATGAGATAAGAATATATATATATAGTTTATATATGTTGTTTTTTTCCCTGTGGCACGTAGCCCTATTTTTGTCTGAACAAAGAACAGTAACTGGACTTGCTACACACCCTCAGAAGGCCTGACTGGCTGTCCCAAGCTAAACCCTGTAACTAAAGATAAACAGATTGCTTCAGTCCACAGTGCTCATGGAAAAATGATCCCTCGTTGCTAGGACATTAGCCTACATGAAAAGCAGCCCCAGCTTGTGTTCCAGAATGTACAGATTCGTTGGAAACATTTCCCTGACCCCAGATTCTTCTCCTGAAAGTAGGTTGCTTTGTACTACTGCCCAGTGACCTACTTTTGAAACCACTTGGAAAGAAATATCTGTTCCCAACTGCAGGCCCCGTGCCCTGGCGAAGGCTGGAGCCACCTGTGCAGCCAGGCCAGTCACAAGATACAGATTTCTGAGTTTTTTCAGCTTTGCATTTATTTATATACAGTTCAGAGTCAGCTGCTTGACAATTTTTATTCACCAAGAGCTACTGGAGGAAGAGTGGAATGTTTGTTAAATACATGTGCTTTGTACAAGCACAGCAGTACAATATTTAGCCATTCTTTGGAAAAAAAAACCACAAGGGAAGGCTCCTCTGCTTTTTGGTTTATACAGAAAGGAAAAACTGACAGAAATTTCTTCTTCTCTACCTACAAGGACATTAAAAAAAGAGACATACACAGTGAAATCCTTAATACAAGTCTGATGTGCTCAAACACTGCCCAGGCTTTACATTAGCCTGTGGTTCATCTCCAGCTTTATAGACGTGGCATTTCACATTTGTAAATATTAGTTCCCCGTGGCCTCTCCAGACTCCATGGCAGAATCTGTCCCTGGAGCAGAGCCTGGGATGTACAGCATGCCCAGGCCAGCCTTGGAGCAAACATTCAGTCCCCCTGGCACCACCAAACAAAACCAGCCTGGTGGAAAAACTGAGCAAAACTGGCAGCACAAAGCATACAAATGGAAAATTGCCCAACTCTGCCTTTTACCCTAAATTTATGTAGCCAAATAATATTTCCAAGGTTGGCTATTGCCATGGAGCTGTCTCTGAACATTCCAGTTACCATTTTTCCCTCTTCCTGTTTCTACAGTGCAAGTAATTACTGGTAGGATGATTTATTTCCTTTTTACTGTAAACCAGGAGGTTCTAGAAACCCTGTTAGGAGAAAGGAAAGCAAAAGGGTTTTGTTGTTGTTGAGGTTTTTTGGTGGTTTTGTATTTTTATCTAGGTTTGAGGGTTTTTTTAGGGGGAAATAGAGCAGCTCTGTGCTGAATCTTGCCAGTCACATGAGTGCTGATGCTTTGTGAGGGGAGGATTGAACAAGGTCATCTGCCTTGACTGAAGGAGCAGCAGGTAAAGCTGCTAAAAAACACATTAAAACCTTCTTGGATTTTGCGTATCCATCTTTAATATGACATAAAATGAGTTAAGAGACAGACTGAAAGGTATGATGAAGCTTAATTAACCCGGGGCACATTTCCAAATCAGCTCACAGAAGGAAGTTGCTCCATAACCGATCGAAGCTTCCTGTTCTGGAGGCGAGTAAACAAGCATTTGAATTACAAATGTCAGCATTTCATCACGGGGCTTGTTTTGCAGGCTCACATTAGAGAATTAACCGGTCAGCCCGGTTCCAGCCAGTTCCAAGGGCAGCTCAGGAGCTGGGCCGCGTGACTGGGGCTGCTCGTGTGACGCACCGGGAGCCTCCAGCGCTCCCCAAACTCCTAAATTATGTATTTCACCAGCTTTGCCAACTCAGTCCTGCTTTTCCCAGCTTTTCCTCTCAGCCTGATAGGACAGGACCAGCCCTACAGACTGTTCTGGGCTTTCCCGTGAATTCTCAGCCGCCTCAGGGAAGGGGTCGGTCAGAGGCGCTGGGGGTCACAAATCGCTGGCACCAAGGGTCACTCCCCTTTTTGGGGGGCACCTTTGCTCAAGTCCATTTCAGGCTCTTCCCTGAGCACTGCTGGGGTTAAGGCAGGGGTTAAAAAGCCACAGTGCCACACAATTATAACCCCTGTCCCCATCCCTGTCCCCTCAGGGTCGCCCCCCTCCCCAGCCGATCCCTGA